ACCCCACATCGGTACGTGATCTAAAAACGAGAATCTTAACCTCTCTTGCTGATAGATGGGAGCAAGTCATCTAAGCTGCGTTGGGCAAACAAGCACCAGAAACTTTTTCTACGAAAAGGGCCGGTAGTCTAGACAATCTATGAGGCACTTTGGTGATTTTCTTTTGACCGCGTATAGAGGGCACGCGCATATGATGTGATGAGTAGTCTCAGACGTGTGACACACACTGCAGCTACGATTTCGATCCTCTCCAATCTTGCAAAGGTATCGTCGCGTATATGCAACATCCGATAGCAGCGTTACTTGGTCTCTCCTTGGTTGGAAAGGAAGACAAAAAGCACGACCAGAGTCAAGCCTATAAATGCGTTTGTGGCGATAATCGGGGTGATTCCATAGTCGTGTCTTAACTGTTCTCATAGCTTTAGACATCCAGGCGTTTACGTCATAACGGGGAAAGTGAATTGATATTCCTTCGCCGATGCTGCGCGCCATTCTCGCTTCTGCGTCAGCTTGTTCATTCCCAGCACAGTGGCTGGGAATTCATTGCAACGCTACGGTATGTCCGGATTGCAATGCATCTCTTTACATATTCGTCATGTCGCACACCAGAGGACTGTATGTGGTTTATTGTTTCATGTAGTTTCTAATTAGCTGAAGTGCCAGCTTGGAGTCGCAAAATAATGCGTATTTCGCTGGACTCTGCTGTAAAATGCAGCAGGCAGATTGTCGGTCAGCTCAGCGGACGTAGACAATGTCTGGTGTGCTATCTTGAAAAGTTTGTGATTCCCGTGTAATGTACAGTGAAACCTGCTGCTGGGGAGGTCCGTGTGACAAAGCCATGAACAAAAATTTGAACTTTATATCCGCAAATATGGCAATTTATACGACAAAGCGAAATGCTGAAGTCCGGCAGTTCGTATTTTTGACTTATTTGTTATCCCCGGGATCGAAAGTCTCACGATCGACTTAGGCATCATCCAGAGTGCTATGTCGGACACCACATCATGTGGTGCATTATTTGAAGGCAGCAGATCGCGGTGCGGCATCTTCCGAGTATGCAGCATTAGGTCGCGCATTAATAGCCTCTCCCAGTGGGTGGTCTGAATGTCTTGTCAGTAACCTCAGATGTACTCGCAGCAGCTCGTGTTCAAGATAAACACAAGCTGGACAAGCACGTACTTTTGCAATAGTGCCCTATAGGCAAATTCTCAGGGCACAAGCCTGAGCCCCATCGAGTGAACGTACATCAGATTCGCAAACACAAAACAGGAGCACTACTGCTGCAGATGTATCCGATAAAAAGTGCCTGGTATAGCTGTAGTATGAATGATTTCCATGGTCAGCATGATTTTCCAGACATATGGCGAATGACCTGGACAAAAATATGTTTTTTTGTTAGCCCACAGGTGTGCATCGACTAGAATAAACCATGGTCGACGATAACCCCAATGAACCTTCCCATCGATCACTATGGGGAAGCAAGCCATGGACTTTCTCATGAATTCCAGGGTTGCACTTTTTGTTGACGACAGTTGCAGTCCACAGGTATAGAGGTATGCGGACGTTGTCGATGCTGCACGTTGTAGCTTCGTTTGTACTTGCAAACGCGTTAGACTCCTTGTCTAAAAGCGTCTTCGTACACAGACACTGAGATTTTACCTCCTAGTTTTTTAACCAGGCCAACAAATACGATGTTAAATATTGTTGGGCTCAGGACTCCACCTTGAGGCACGCCATGAGAGGCAGAATGCTTATTTGTGTCATCGTGACAGTAGATATGAATATATATTTCATTTTTTGAAGATAGCTGGTTATATATTGATGCATACGGCCCCTAATACCATAGCCACAAAACCACAAAATGAAGAAGCGGACGCGCTTTAGACAATCATTAATATAAGCACTTCAATATAGCATTAAGGAGTCCTCGATGTGACCATCGGTATAAGAATTTTTAAAGCTATCACAAGTACGTTGTCCTAAAATAAATAATAAACTTGAAAAACAAAACAAGAAGCTTGCAAATGTCAGCTTGCGTTTCGTACAAGCACTTGCGAGATAATCAAATTCTATATCACTCAAGATAATAAACACCCTGCTGACAATCATCAAACTAAGCACTTGAATACAGCATCGGACAGTCATCGACGTGATTATCGGTATAAGAATCGTTAAAGCTATCACAAGTACGTTGTCCAAAAAAAAAAAAACAACTAGGAAGACAAAACGAGACCGGAGAAGCTTGCAAATCTAAGCTTTCGATTCGTACAAGTTCTGGCGAGATAATCAAATTCTTTATAGCTCAAGATAATCGACACCCTACTGACACACGAATCCTCTTTCCTTTTGATATGGAAAGCATCAGCGATTTCCTCAACCCTTTGCAGTCTGTCATGCAACGGTATCATTGGAGAGTTTCAGTGCCGGAGACACCCAGCGATCCGCGCATGCACGTTCTTGCGTTGCTTTGTATTCTCCACAGCTGCTGCTGCGGCTACAAATGAGTACAAGAGCGCATGTACGCTGTCAGCTTGTGCTACTCATCGCTAATTCTTTATTATATCATCCAATTGGAGGGAGCAGCCACATCCATATGACATCGAGCAATAAGTGTAATTATACGTGTGAGATCTTTTTGTAAATTTATTCATTTGTTTAATTTACGTTACTATGACTTCTTTTACTGGCCATGGACGTGGTTGGGTAGAACAAAAAAGTAAGGGTGGGGGGCTTAAAAATGTAGGGGTATTGTAAGGATCAGATAAATCAGTTTTGGAAGCTGGTCACGTTTCCGCTTGTAGCTCAAAATAGCATTAAGAGGAAGTGACAGTGGCTATGGGCCCATTCTACAGACTTAATCTATACGCAAGGAACCCTGTGAGCTGAAGTCGTGAACGGCAGGGGGATGGCAGAATTTCTACTTGTTTTTTTTTTTTTTGGAGAGGGGCCCCACATTAATTAGTATTGAGCACGGGCATGCAGATGTGGAAGACCACGATCTTGTGCGCTATATACCATGGCGAAAATTGGGGGGAGGGGGCACGGGATTGGTGCGCCACTTCGTGGCTACACCACTGGCGGATGCAAACCCGTATCACGGTCACTGGATGAAAGAGCGCACTGTGCGCATTGTCATCCAGCGGTCGTGCCAGTGTTGTCAGGTACACACGTGAGGACGGCACGGACGCCAGAGGAGGAGGATGGGGGTGGCGCAGACTGTGGTAAAGGTTACCTTGGCCAGAATAGTAACATTTAGCAAAGACTGGAGTGGTACATGTATGATTACAGGCAGAAGGTTTCGTCGAACGCACTGGCCGAGCACGCAGAAGCAACCGGCCACGAAATAGACCGGAATAAGGTAAGACTAATGAAAATAAAGAGAAAAAAACTGGACTTCTAAGCTATATCTTGACTCTGTGACAATTCAGACAACGACGCACATTCTTGAAAGCAATGATGGCAACTTCCCCCCCCCCCCCCCCCAAGTACGCAGCCACGTTCTATTTTGATATATACATAATCGGACTGTTTGCACATTCCTTTTCGTTATGAACGAAGCTCCCGTGCAGAAACTGAAACGTTCTGCTTTCATGCGAACATTCATGGTCGGGACTCATTTGAACCTCGTGGGCTCGAAACAACAAAGAAAAAGGGAAGTGACAGTGGCATCACGTACATAGCGCACTGTGGCACGCCACCGGTAACTTTTACTGCAACTTTCAGGACTCTGTTCTGTAGTCTGCAGAAGTCCGCACACATGAAGTCGGAGCGAAACAACGCTCTTCAAAACTGAAAACACCGCGAATTTACGGTAAAAACAACGCATTCAACCGCCAGCTTTCCTTTGCCAGAGCAAGGCGAGATCACGTGATCTATTCCTGAACGTCACAGCGATTGCACTGCCCGCAACTCCTGTGCTGGGCCTTCAAGCACGTGTTTGGCCACATTGTCGATCTTGCTCCTGCAGGGAGAGGCGGCGCGCTGGTGGTTTCGACTTCAGCAACAGACGAAACGGGCGGCACAAGCCACAAGAGTTATGTGGTAAAACTGGTCGCCCCCTTCGTTCACCTCGTTCGTGGGGTGCATTTGTGTAGAATTCTCCGCGCGAGCTGACGTCACTACGCTCCGCCTTTATTCCTCTAGGATTGTTGCCCCGTGTGAATACCCTTTAAGGTGCTTCGCTGCTAAAAGGAAGTGCGAAAGCGGCTGTAGGCTGCGCAATAGTGCTGGCGGGGAAAACGAACCTTGCACGTCACAGGGATGCCTCCGCATGGTGGCGCCACGGTATGACCAAGAGGGTTACAGGCAGAAAAGGAAAGTTAAGGTGCCGAAAAAAAAGTAAATAGCAGCATATAAAAATGATAAAAAGTACAAAGAAATGCAGCAAGAGAATCAGAGAAATAGAGAAAAAGAAGAGAAAAAACAAAACAGAAAGAAAGAAATGAGAGCAACAAATAAAAGAAAGGAAAACACACAGAAAAAGAAAACTGACAAGAAATTCAGAAATTACAGATGAAAAAGCAAACTTAAGAAAAGCTAGGAAGGCTGTCCTGCTCTGCAATTAATCTTAAGCATTGCATCTCCTGTACAAACTATGCAACTTTTCTTTTTTATCGCGATGGCGCAAAAAAAAAAAAAAATCTTGTTTGGCACATTTGGTGCAAGACTGCAAGCGCTGCTTATGTGCCCTTCTTGGACACTAGGTTGCTTGCAATGTACACTGAGACCTCATTATAACAAAGTTGCATCTCACGAAAAAATAAGATTGTTATATTAAAATTGGTTATAAAGGTTATTCCTAACACTGTATCTATTACAAGACTATTTTTAATTTACTTCGTTATAACCAAAATATTTTGTTATATCCATGTTTGTTATATTCAGGTTTGTACTGCCAAGCTGTACATATACACGAATTGCAAAATTCACAATAAAAAAAGCAATGAAGCCATACGAAACCCAGTGATACTTAACGAATAGTGAGAGAGCATTTGCACCAGTTTTCAGAAAGGACCAGATTAAAGAGCAATCGTTTATTCATACTAAAAAAACGACATCTCAAACATTACAAAAAAAATGCAGAGGGAGGCTCAGACACACAGAATACATCTAGCGTTGCATAAAATTTGTAACTGTAACGAACACACTTTTAAAAATGACCTCTCTCTCTATATATTTATACATACGTATAAAATAAACACTTCTTAAGCAATTGCCATGCTTTGTCAACATTTGTTACAAAAGGGAAAGTGCCACAAATAGAGCTTATTCAGGAGTGATATGTAAAAGGACTGATCGTCACCTGCTGACAGACGGGCATGTCCTACTTGCTAAAACACTAGCACACCTGCACAACACCATAGCACATTTTGTGTGAATGCACTCGCACCGACTGCTGTGCCATTCGTTGTATGCCAATATCTTGTGTGCTAGCTCCTGCAAAGCTGACTAATAGTGGTGCTTCCTCCGGGCAATTATGACGTAGCTTTCGAGACACACTGATTTCCTAAGTCACCAAGTGAGGCCTTTGGCCATGGGTTGGAATGATTTCGACAAAGCGAGCTATGCAGCAGCAAGTTTCCACGCATTGCTCCACTAAAGCAATGAATGAACTGAGTTTTCCTTGCAAGGGTTTCTGTGTCTTTAACGTAATGCAAGTGTGTGGAAAATTACTTTCCTGAGCAATATAACGTGACAAGGGTTAAAGTACAGCAGAATTGGTTGAGAAAGACAATCTCCCTTTTTTTTTTTACTCTGTTTATCTGAAGTACTTATGTTATGCAATATGTTAAAAATTGCTATGACACACAAGTGCTAGTGAAATGCTGATCATTTGAGCTGTCTAAAAAAAGAAGTTAGATATAGGTAACAGAAGAAATTAGTGATAGGAGCTTTGGGAGTTCTATTGTGGCTCGAGAATCCCAGGACTGAGTAAAAATGCATCACACAATTGCATTCCTGCAGATACTTCTACTGTAGATATTCAACACAAATGCTACGCTGCAAGCTGTCCACAAAAGTATGCCTGCAATGTTCACCAGACACACTTGTTGCTTTGCAATGACCCATTCACCCACAGCCAAAGTCGGGCACTACTTCACACACAAGGTTCTGTACACAAAGAAATTAGTAGGGCAATAAAGAATTTTGTTTTTCACTCTAGTGGCAACAGACTCAGAAAGATGAAATAAAGAAAGCACATTGTTCGATAACCCAATTTACAACAGTTTACAAGCCAAACAGCATACTTTGTGGCAGAGAGCGCAATTCTGTGGATTAAAACAATACAATTCAAAGTGAGGATTCGTCTAACATGAACACATTATAAAAAATAGTGAGAGATTAGGCAAGCGATGGAAGCTGCACCAAGGCAGGACTTAAATCACACCAACATGCGAAACTTAATTACAAGCCTTGGCATGTATTCCTTGCATAAACATGAAAGGAAAGATATGACGAAAAAAAAAAAGGAAAAAATAAAGGACACCTTGAGAAACGCCTTTGAGATTCTGTAGCTACAGATACAACAGTGACTGCCTTTTTTTTTTCTTCCTGTACAACATGTACCATTACAGTCATGACTTCTCGCAATAAGCACGAAACACTTTCTCCTTCACTCACACAAGGCCAAGTCTATAGTCGGAAGTCTGTGGCATTTAATCATCAATGGCGCACCACAGAAACCTCTTCTAATGGGTGCACATTCCAGACTAATGTCAGGCCCCATGCAGTCGATGACCGCGCTTTCGGAGAATGCTGCCGAGCCCGTGAGCAAGACTATTTCTTTGTTCACGGAGCGATTGGTCACTGTGCTCCAGTATTTCAAGAAGAGCCAATACGGACTTCTTCAGCTGTGTCCGACTACAGTGAACTGCATTCTGCAAAGCGTGCAATGCACACCGAAAAGTGCCATTACCATACGAGGCATATTTCCGCCCAGTCTTGCAACTGAAGACTCGGCCTCCACTGTAGAAAATGAAGCTGTTCCTTGTATGTGGGTCAATCATGTACCAGCCAACCACACATGCAGGAAGCGAGAAAGTTTACAACATGGGAAAAAAAAAAGTCACACGCAGGGAAATGCTATATTGATAAGTGCGCACACGCTTGAGTTTTGAAATGAACAAATATCTACAACGCAAGCACCAGCAAAACTGTCAAACTGGCGAAAACACACAAGTTGCAATTTTCGTAACCAGGTCTCTTAATTAGGAAAAGGTGAACAACATGAATGTTTTTCCTATACAATGGTTCACGCAGCCATGTTCAGTCTCCTGGTTTGACTACTTCCTGACTATACTCTGGGCACACTGCACGAATCATTGTTCCTTCTTGCAGGCGAGACAACAATCATAAAACGGATTTCCGCACAACACTGTTGTTCGAAAAAAAAAAAAAAAAAAAGGCCAGGTGAGACAGAGCACTGTGCAGGTAAACAAGTTGCAGACATCTCGAAACAGCATTAATGACTGTACTGACTCCTTTATCATTCCAACTACGCTGACCATATACGCAAACTTTTGACCTGCCAGAAGAGCGAATAACTTACGGAAGCTGGTTAGCTAGCTACTGTTCGTAAACCTGAGTAAGCTGCACGAGATGTGACATGTATTGTTCAGAGGGTGTAATGTGAGCACACAGCGTCCTCAATTAGCAACACGTTTAACCAAAGAGGGAATGTCTACGACTGCTTGACAAAGCACAAGCTGAATCTCTATCTATGACTGTTGGGTTCGGACTTGTACCTGCTATATTTGCTTCAATCCTTCTACATGACAGGAAAGTAAAATTGCATTCCATATGCCGCACCTCTGTTGAATATGCAAACTTATCACTCAATGCCATGTATCCGTACAGGAATGTCCAAGGGAGGTTGGGGGTCCATACACCGCTCTCAAAACAAAGAGTAAACTGATCTCTCCCTTCTAACACACTGTAGCAAAATGGAGCATGACCATACTGCCGAAGCTAGACCACACGAGCCCTGAAGTATGAACCTTATTCAAACAAACCAAAACTGCAAGGAGAAGAACTAAGCAGTGTTAGCCTCATTTAGCTTGCTTTAAAGAACACTGCTGAACAAGTGCACAGATGTAGGCACAAGACAACATCGACAGTCCAGCAGTAGTAATGAGCTCAGTGCATGCACTGATCATACACCCCGACTTGTCTCCTTAAAGCCGGACGGTGCCAGCATCCACCACTCTAGCTCTCAGAGCTGGCAGTAACCAGCTTCCATGTCCGGATATGACAGTGTCAAACATAGAAACACTTCAGAAACATTTGCAGATAGGCAGTTGTAGCCATACATGCAAGGAGTTAGTTTTATTAAATTGTAGGTTTGTAGAAACTTGCACTAGGTATTTAACAATATTAAACAAAGGGTTGCTCTAAACCTTCTTATTCTTATGTATTTGCTGCATAAGCTTCCAAAATTTGAAAACCTGATTGCATTTGAGGATAATTTTATAGCTTACAGCTCAAGAATTTAACCTTTCTAAGTATGCTTCAAGCTGCATCTGTCTATAACCTTGTTCCAGCAATGCAGGGACCTGTCGAATATCAAGCGACACCTAGCAGCACAAACAGATTTATGGATCACACAATGAACCTGCTTCTGTAAGTCCAGCCTTTCTGCTATTCCCATCCGTAAAAAAAGAAAATAAAGCCAGATAAAGCGGCAACTAGCATCACAGACATATTGTGGGCGGCAAGAGGGTAACAAGTTGCCTTTTAAGCAAAACTATAAACTATGATACTTTAACTACATATATTGTCTTATGTACATACTACTTAAAAAACACGCCCAGTAATGTCTTTGTCGAAAGAAAGCCGGTAACATTAGAACAGAGAGGAAAAGAGAGAGCACGGCGGTAAAACTCGCAGGCATAACTAAGGTAAAATAATGCGCAAGGAACACTTTGTCAGAATGCTAGAACACTCCCCCTCAACAATAAAGTAACGACCAATGTAGGCCATTCACAGAAAGAGAGCCTTAACGTGGCAGGACAAGCTATGACAACAGAAAACTGCTGAAAATAAAATGAAGAGCATATACTAATAAGTCAGGTTACTATGGCTAGCATAAATGTAAGGAAACGAAGATACCTCAGAAGCTGAGCTGCTAGACCTTTCTTAGACACAACTTTCGGGAATGTTGTGTAAGGTGAAGAATGCTAAATAAGCAAAGACTGCAAGTGTGTTCGACTCAGCTGAAACTGAAGAGAAACAGGTCGACACTGAAAAAGTCAGCTTCGCTAGCATATTACGAACATACCGTTCAGCAAGTTGCCAGCTAAGTTGTCATGTCACACCCTTCTTGCCATTTGCTGCGGTCTTCATACCTGTGCATTACCTCAGTGTTTTCATTTATTTCAATACAGTGTTTTACCAGAACAGAACCACTGCGCAGCAGCTGCATGCTGAGTCACTGTGACTGTGTCATCCTTCGATTATAATGATAACTCATATCGACAGTAGATTTATGGGAGGTGGAAAATGAGATAAGTTGTCTTGGCAAAGCAAAGGGCAAAGCTTCGACATTGGGCCCACACAGCAACCACAGCCTGTACCGTGAGAACAAGCCAAAAAGTGCAAAAGACGCCACCTTCAAATGCACAGGCCCTAAGAACTGGGATAGTGTGAAGTGTGCATATGTTTAAGAGTAAAGCGGTGAGAAGCTCTGATGGCAGCACGAAACAAGGAGTCGCGACCAATGTCGTGAAAGCTGTACTTTGTCCTCGCTACGCTGATAAAGGCACTTTGAAGTGTGAGATCCGAGTAACGGAAAGAGGAGGTCAGAAGCAAGAAAGAGATTGTCATTTAGCATGTCCTCATTTGATGCAGCACCGAAAGGTTGCAATATGTAGATACGACTTGACTGTAAAGAACTCGCAGGTGGCGGCCCTTGAAACTGCACAATTGGGTTACTCCGCAGGTGCTCACTATCCCAAAGCGTGGCAACATCTTGTCTTGTGAATAAGGCAGATTGATAGAAGCTGATTGCTTGAACTCATTTGTGATGCCTTGGAATCTATTAGCTATCAGAGTTGCATCTATGCACTTAAAGTGGATTTCAAGGTGGAATAAAAAAACCAATATAACCTGTCCAAAAGAGGGCACCAAACTGCCTTTTGACAACCCCATTGCACGTTTCACAATTCAGTACTGGTTATATTCATAATGTTTTGTCTTCAACATGAACAAGCACTTTTGTCAGATGCACGGCTTAATTCTAACGAGATTAGACTGTCAAAACGACCAGTGCAAGGTTAAAAAAGCAGCTTTCTTTGTGAGGCAGGATGTTGCTATGTCTACAGCAGTGACCATGTGAAGGAGATTAGCTTGCATGCAACATTTTGATTAATCAAGAAAACAGCATGTTGTATACAGACAGTGCTGTAGAACCAGATTCAGAGCAACACGTCAGCCTGGTACGACAAATTACATGTACTGTGTCAGCTCATACCACAGCTAAAACCAATGGAATATTGGCGTGACTAAAGGTACACAGCGTGCCGCAGCAGTACTTTACCAAACTAAATAGCAAATGTTAAGTGCCAGTGAAATCGGTACTAGTGCACTGCTAATTGTTTCACTAGCACAGAACTGTGACACACTGTCCATGCTAAACACAAAGCACAGCACTTTTTGATTTATGTCTCTTGCTGCCTGTAAGTGACTGTCAAGACCAGTTGCTTGATTTAGCGCTTTTAGCACAGACTAGTGCTACTGGTAATTTCTAAGTGTCAGAGCATCGCTACCGTTGCATGCTAGTACCAGCTGCACATAAGATGCACGAGTAAATGGGATATAGGAGCAAAACGCAAAGACTAAAGACACCTAGCTGTGACAACAGCCTCGCAAAAGTGTAGAAGCTTTCGGGAGAAAAAGCTCTGAGCAATCACTGAAGGCACTAGCAGTGGCACCACGCATCTTGACCTCCGCAAATGTAAGAAAACTATTTCGAAGTCTTGCCATCACGGTCACTGGATTTTCATGGTACATGGAAAATGCCCACATGCAAACCCTCCGGCCAGTCCAAATAAATGCTAACTGACCACTGACGTACCACTCAATAACAAGACCCAAGAGAAGCTTTCTTTGTCAAGCTACAATGGAATGTACGTGTAGCAGTAAACTGAGTAAATGAAGCTTCTGAACGATGTAGCTTTGGCAGCATGTACCCAATCAAGCTCGCTGCATAAGTATAAAGTGATGCTTACAAATAAACTCGTGGTAGCAGTACAGCAGGCTGAACAACAGCACTGTGACAGTTCTAGCAACAAGTCTGCCTATCCCTTACACACTAGCAAGAACTCAACGTCATGTGGACAAGAGTGGCCTCGACTTAAAGTGTGCCTCATGCAAGTAAGTTGAAAAAAGCGCCGCCTCTTGACTGTTTCGTAACGATTCACACCGGTAAACATTGCAAAAGAAGCTCCTCCAAATTGTGGTGCTCAAGTACTTTGACACTTGAGATGACACTAGCAGGTTATAGAACAGTGGGGAATGTTTTTGAAATACAATGCCTTCTAAAGACGAGCTTGGCTATCCTCGACTTATTTTCCGCCAAGGAGGGGTGCCAATTCAGCACTGGTTGAAGAGCCCAGAGGCAGCAAACTTTCCTGGAATGCCGAGTGCATGAAGTTGTCTATGAAAGGGGGCAGTGTGCCATCTGAGATAACAAAGCAATAAATAGCTGCTACAGTCAGTGATGAGCACAACTGCTCGGATTGCTGAGCCGTGCATGCTTGCTGCAATAAGGTGCATTTCTTGCATCAAGATGGTTAATGCATCAATTTGTTCATCTATTGTGCTAGCAGCACTAGGGATAGGCATCCCCGTCTTTCCGAGTCTTCAGTGCATGCTTCTACCGCAAGCTACAGGTTCCGATAGGATGACAGATGCCGTTGGCCCCAGCCCAATGAGAACATGGAGCGCTGAGCTATAGTTGACATTGATCACTGCAGGGGAGACTCGAGTCTTGCTATTATCAAGCACTTGCTGGTGTTACACTTCAGCGATCTGCCTCGTCGGTGTGCTTGAAAGCATTGATGGGAGTAGATGCAGGCCCGGAGCTATTGTTTGTTTGTCTGCTCATACTGCCCGGTAAAACTGCGGAAATCCCCAAAACGAGTGACCGATAAAGAAGACGGCCATTGCTAGTGTCTTCCTTGATTGACTACCCAAAATAAAATGCACTGCTACATGTTCACCCACTGCGCAGAGGAGTCCAAGCACTACAAGAGAGAGGTGAATAGAATAGGGGGAGGGGGAGAGCTGAACAGATGAGTCAGTTCTCGAAGTCTGTGGAGCTGATGATCCCAAGAGCAAGAACTGGCTCCTCGTTTCGATGTCACGTTGTGCTCCTTGAGGGGCACAACATTTTCGTCCCAAGTCGTTGACCACCGGCCAGCTTCCTCAGATATGGACCGACGTGGCGGCCGTGTAGCGTGCTTCACCGTGAAGCCTCCACTGGCTCGGACGATACTGCGTGAAAACAAGAGTACCGGCGCACTTAAGGCATGTTCACTGACCAAGGTGAATAAAAGCAAAATGGTCAGTTATCTTTAATTTTTTCTCTTGATGACATACTGCAGGCCATGTGGCCCAAGCAGGAGTGGCAAGGTACAAAACAAATAAACGTACAATGCACAATTGAAAAACCCAACTGAAATTAGGCTAACAAACAACTTTAAGTTGAAAAGAATCAGGAAAGAGTGAAGGTGTAATTCTGTATAGATTCAGGTAAGTCGAAATGATGAAGAGGCATCAGCTTCTATTTTTCAATAGTTCGGGGAAAGAAAGAATACATAGAGAGTTCAGAGTTCAGTTACGGCAAGACAAGGAGAAAGTGTGAGAGAGTAAAAATAGCAAGCTTTCCTAGTCTCAAAAAGAGTTATGTAAGGTCTGGAATATATAAAAAAATTTATCATTGAAGAAAGAATGAAGGAACTTCAGTCGGGACATCTTATGCCTCATTTAAAGTGTTTGAAATTTATCGGAATGTCAAAGTTCAGAAACAGAATCATTGCAGCTGTATTTAGAAAAAATGAATCTCAAAGCTTTTCTAAGTATTTCTTCGAGAGCATAAACACTGGTTTTGGTGAAAGCATCCCGAATAATGCAGGTGTACTTTAATTTGGCTCTGATGAGAGTGGTATAGGCTGTAGTTTTCCCATCATGGGGTGCGTGTTAAGGCTTATGGTGAAGAAGATATAATTTTCTAAAAGTTGAAGAGGTGAAGTTAAATGTGGGCGCTCCTATTAAGGTTGTAAGTAATGCTAACTGCACGATAATTGTACTCATTAACTAGAGTCAAAAGGACTTGGTCAATAAAGTATGAAAATTTCAGCGGCACTATTTTTTTAGTTATCCGCAAAAGCAACGATTTAGAAGAGTGCAGTTTAACACCCCATTTATTTCTTCACTTAATAATACTGTTTAATGCTGATGATTGCAATACAATGATCAGCATTGGCAATACAATGATTAGAGGAAATGGAACAACATGAAAGTATGGTCAACACCATAATATCAAATTTAAGGGGATTGTGAAATAGTACGAAAAATTAATGTTTTTATATAGAAAATGTGCATATTTCAGGCTTATTTAATTAATGCACACCTTTGAATGGTCTCATAAATTCTAACAAGTGCTGGCTAGCCAACTTGCTGACAATATACAAAAAAAACTTTCTTCTTTCTCAGTTTGCCTAAACATTTACTTTGAAGGGAACTATAATGTGCACATGACTTTCTTGTCATGAACTGTCGAGCTCATCAAGAAATCCTAATTATCATTGAAGCTTTGCAAAAAATTGGGGGACCTTAAAGCTTCACATTTAAGGTGGTAACCACCTTCAAGGCTTTTTTTTTTTTGCAAAATAAATTTTTACGGTTTTGTTTTTCTTGCACGCCGAAACATTCACATATATGTGGCAACAAAAATTATCCTTCTAGTGTCATTAGTTTTCGAGATACAGCGAGTTTTCTATACCCTATGCTCCTATAGCAAAACCGAAACCACATTTCCAACTGTGGTTTCGGTTTCGAAAAATCGCTTTCAAAAGCAAGTGTTGTTTTGTCTATATTATTGCTATTCAAAATACTTTATGCATTTTATTGTGACTGTTATATAAGATGATGTCATTAAATACAACTTTGTGTTTAAAAGTCTCTGTTAATCTCTAACAACGGCCACAAAGGGGACGCACGATGCTCGTCGGAATTTTCTTTGTTTGCCTTGGTCAGGCTATGTCAGGCTTCGTTCTGCATTTGTTCCACGAGTCAACGCTACTAGGGCTGTATCCTTAGGCCACCTGGACCATATTACGACCGGCATAGGGAAGTGCAGAACACAGAAGACGAGGAAGCGCAAGTTTGCTGGAAATCGCTACACTGACGACAAGGCTGCCTACAGACACAGACGCCGGCATTTCGGCGATCGCGAAGAAGCTTGGGGACATAAACAAGGTGTACCAGGCTCTACTAGAGAATTCTGCGCTCCAAGGGAACAGGATAATGGACATTGGTATTCCTTTCTTCAGTGTTTTCATCGCTGGCATGTTCCGAATGCATGAACACAACACTGAAGCACGAGGAACGCTCTCACCAAGGGATATGCTCGGCTTGTGCGTTCAAGCGCCCATTTGATACGTCGAGAAAGGTGGGTCGTGCCAATGAGAACAATTTACGTCTGATTTAAGTGATGCGCCAGTTAGGAAAAGGGCACGCTAATGCGAAAACCTTTTCCAAAGTGATGAACACGCCTGCTTCTCCCCGTCACTCCGCCTACGACAAATTGTCATCTAGGCTTTCTGCAGTGGCAGGAGAATTAGCGTCGAAGTCGATGACTGATGCAGCTGTGGAAGTTCGTCGTGTTGTGGGGAGTGCCGAGTGTGGTGTTTCAAGTGATGGCATGTGGCAGAAGCGTGACCATTCATCTTTGAACGGTTGTGTGTCTGTGATTTCTATTGACACAGGAAAGGTTATTGATGTTGAGGCCCTTTCTAGTTCGTGTAAGTCTTGTAAAACCAAAAGAAAGTTGAGGCAAGATAGTGCTTCGTACTAGGAATGGAAGGCAAACCACACTTCCTGTCAAGCAAACCATGAAGGAAGTGCTGGCCGTATGGAGACGGTTGGTTTATAACGAATATTTGAAAGGTCGAAAAGCAAAAGAGATTTGAAGTACCTGCAGTACTACGGCGATGGTGATTCCAAGAGCTATGCCGCTGTCAAAGACATGTATGGAAAGGACAGTGTGCAGAAACTGGAATGTATTGGGCACGCCCAGAAGCGCGTTGGCTGTTGCCTCAGAAAACTGAAGAAGACAGTGCGTGGGCTCGGTGGTAAGGGAAAGCTCATTGATGCCCTCATTGACCGCCTGCAAAACTACTATGGAATCGCCGTAAGGGCTAATGTGGGGAACCTTTCTGCAATGAAAAAGGCTACCCTTGCCAGGCTCAACGCGCCTTGGTGGCTTTCAGCTGACGTCACAAGTAGCAAACACAAACTCGTAGACTTCGGAGGGCCTACCGGTGGCCCTGTTGCTGTTGTTTAGTGCATAATCTATCACTATCAACTTGAAAGCAACCGTGTCGCATCAGTATCACACCATAAGGTGACAAGATTGCCGATACAACATACAAAACATGCCGCAACGTGCAGTATCACACCATAAGGTGACAAGATTGCCGATACAACATACAAAACATTCCGCAACGTGCACTTGCCACTTTGGCTTGGCTTTGATTGAATCTCCGTGCAATAATAGTACGCTTGATGCTTAAGAGATGGCGTCAAATGGCACGTGCTATCATCATCGGCAGCTGGAATGAGCAGACGACATTATTGGGACAGTTTTCGGGGGTGCGATAATTACTCGAGAAAAAAAAAAAAGAAAAACGAATTTTTGTTGGGCATTGTGGGGAGTGCGAGAATTATGCGAGAGCGAGGATTACACGAGTAAGTACGGTAGGTATGAACTGTAGTTACACATTGAGCGGGTATGTATTAAAGAGCTTCAACTGTAGAGGAGACTGTGGTGCTGCGATCATTCAGCAACAATGGAAATGATGGGCAGTATACAGATTAGCCTAAGTCTTCATGCTTGCGGGTTTTCAATGCATTTTTGGCTTTGCTTATTGCTGTGTTGTGGTTTTGTTTCGAAATTAAAAAACAGATGGTTGTGAACTTCGTGATTAGTGAGCTTAAATAGTCAAGGTGCTGAAGTGGAAATACTGAACGTTCGCTGATTGTACGTCTTGTGATGAAGCAGCTACAAGTCATGCAAAGCCAAACAGAGCCATAAGTACAAAGATTAGACAAAGCCATGCACTGATTATCATTTCCATGCTCGCTGAAGCGCCATGTGTTGCAATTCTCATAGACACTAGTACCAGAGTTTGTTATAGTGTATTTATAGGAAAACCTGTGATATGCCTGGCCCCATTTGAATGTGCGATGGCTGTACCACCATCATGATCACCTGGTACTCGCTTTTCGCATCAGGTTTCAACCCAATGTCTTCATTTTCGTCGGTCAGCTTTACCTGCATGTTAGTTCGATGGCTGCTTTCTAGACTTTAGGTTGGTGATTGAACTTTCAAGGCGGGCTCGGGAAGCAGCTATAAACAAATGCTACAACAGTGAAAAATACGACGCAAGTGACCGGTAGATGAAATCACCAATAATTGCCCGAGCGTGCTTCCCTAATGCTCAAACACTATGCACAGTACGACGACAAGCATGAACGTGAGCTTAGCTGACGACTGATAAGATCCCTATCCATTTGTCGTGATAAGACAGCGACAAGAGCGATGACGACGTTAAAACAGCGCACACGAATCAGCAGCAAAAATTGGTATTTAATGCCAGAAGAGTGAAAGAAGGATGCGAAGACTTAAAGGGGCCCTGCAACACTTTTTGAGCATGAACAGAAAACACTGCCGATCCTTAGTAGAGGCTCCAAACAACACGCGAGCCAAATATTATAGCACAGCACGTGGCCCGGAACTCACAATAAATTATCAACATCAGCTGAAAATTGCTTGCTCTTCTCTCGACAAATCACGTTATATGCCCGAAAATCACATGTCAAGGGCCCATCTATCAGCCATTGGTTAATTTGAACATGGCGTGCTCGCTCATAACAGAGATCACCGCGAGGAGGCCGCTACTTGCCCACACGTGCGCACACGATCACATTGAAAAAGTTGCGCATTCGAAGTGAAAAATTTTTTTAAAAGAGCGCGCACGACGTTTTTCTGGGGCCTTGCCATCCCTCCCTGTTTAGTTTCTAGCGCTTTCGTCAGGACGAGAGAAAAGAGAATGCCACAAACCTTTGTAACTGCACTCGCACTGAACAGATTCTTAAAATTTTTGTTGTGTTGAATTAGTGAGGCAATAAGCTTTCCCGGTGAATTCATTCCATGGTTACTTGAAAAAGTGTTTCAGGGCCTCTTTGAAGAATTCGTCCTTTAGCAATCA